CTGGAAGCCTTTTCTGTGTGTGTGTGTGTGTGTATGTGTGTGTGTGTGTGTGTGTTTACCCTAACTTCAACTTTGAGTTTTCAGCAAATTCAGTATCTACCTTTACGGGTGCCTGAGGTCTTTGCACCGACACTCCACTTGTTAATGGGTGATTTCAGCGCCTGGCCTGTGCAGGGCCTCTCATTCATTTCTCTGAGGGACACAAAGTGTAACTCCTGGGCGCTGCTGGCAGGAAGCTGGCAGAGCACAGGAGAGCGCCTTGCGCTCGGGTGGCCAGGGAAGACTTCTTGGTCGTGTCTTGAGCGATAGATGGGGATTAAGCGCAGGGGCCAGGAAGGGAAGTCCCTGTCACCACCGAAATGACCTTGCTATGTCCTGTGTCAGGGGTGACTGTGTGTGTGTTGGCCCTGGCCACTCTCCAGCCTGGAACTGTGGGCGACACCCTCCTGCTGACACGACTGGAAAAGGATAGTCCCCCGGTCACGGTGCAGATCCCCACTGCCCAGAGCAAGGTAAGTCTCTGGGCCAGGGAACAGGGTTGGTCCGGGTAGGCTTGTGGGCAAATACATTCTGTGGCAGCAGGGGTGGAGGGGGTCTGCTGGGGAGGTGGGGTCACAGGGACAAAGAGAAATCTCATGACCTCACCTCCCAAAGTTTCCCCTGAGTTCGGTCCTGAAAGAGTTCGACGCCATCCAGAAGGAGCAGAAGGAGAACAGCAGCTGTACTGACAAGCGGGAATGGTGGATGGGGCGCCTGGAGCTGGACCGCAGGATGGAGGTGTGCGGCCAGGGCGGGCGCGCCGGGGGCAGTGGGTCTTCTGCGCTACCTCAAGTCCTTTCTGAAAGTGAAGTCAAAAATGGTACCCCTTGAAAACGACTTTAAGCAAACTTGAAACCCCCAAACTTGGATGGGGTTGTGGCTATGAGATGCTTAAAGATACGTACAAGCAAGAGACTGCAGCCCAGAGCCAGCTGCCTGGCGTTAGCTTGCATTGTCCACCTGTCCCTAGTTAGCAAAACGGTGACATGGAACAACAGATCGTCTGACCGAGCCTCCCCCCGAGTCTGGGCAGAGGGAAGCTGGGACTAGCTTCTTGCCTCTTAGGATCGGCAGGACAATGTGTGAGACAGATACACGCTGGAATGCCCGTTCCATCGTCTCAGGGATGCCTCTGGGAAAGGGAGTCAGCTCCCCGGGGCTGACTGCCGCTGTTCCTCACCCAGGTTCTCATCACCTCCCTGGAGAAGCATGTGCTGGGCTGCTGGCGGGGGCTGCTGCTGCCGGCCAGTGAGGACCCTGGCCCTGCCCGAGAGGCTTCCCGCCTGCAGGAGTTGCTGCAGCAATGCGGCTGGAAATACCCTGACCCCACTCTGCTGAAAGTGAGTTGAAAAGTCAGGGCAGGGTGACGCTATACCCCCTTCTTCCCCACTTGCCACTGGAAGTAGGGACAGGGGAGCAGTGGCCTCGCTGACCACTGTCCCCTGCAGGTCATGCTGAGTGGGGCCAGCACACTCACCCCTGAGGACGTCCAGGTTCTAGCCTACGGGCTATGCCCAGCCCAGCCAGGGCGCGCCCAGGAGCTCCTGAGTGAGGCCGTGGGGCGGCTCCGCGGTCAGGTGGCACCGAGCAGTAAGCACCTCGTCTTAGTGCTGGACAAGGTAAGGAGTAGGTGCTGGCAGGGCAGTGTCTGGCAGTGGGCACCTACCGCGCCCCTCCCCCCACCCCCTGTGCATCTGGCTGAGCAAACTCAGTTCTTTGGCCCAGGACCTGCAGAAGCTGCCGTGGGAGAACATGCCCGGGCTCCGGACGCTGCCAGTTACTCGCCTGCCCTCCTTCCGCTTCCTGCTCAGCTACTCCATCATCAAGGAGGTGGGGCTTAGGGTGTGTGGACCGGGGAGGACTGGTAGTTTGGGGAAACCAGAAGAAAAAGAAAAAAAGCGATCTGGGGAGACAGGCGGTCTTAGGAATGGACCAGTCACAGAGAGGAGGTTGGAGTTTGTCGGGACTTGGCCCTGTGGCCGGACCAAGATACAGTGGTCACGTGTCGTGTGTCTCCTCAGTCTGGTGCCTCTTCGGTGCTGAGCCAAGGGGTGGATCCGCGCAATACCTTCTATGTCCTGAACCCACACAAAAACCTGTCAAGCACAGAGGAGCAATTTCGAGACAATTTCAGCAGGTCAGGGGGCAGGCGAGCTGGAAGAAAAGGGGAGTGGGGGGAGGGCAGAGGCAGCCCAGAAGGGTCCTGTGCTCCTCTCCACGGACAAATGGTGCTGCCTGCCTTCTCCCGAGGGCCCCTTTGTAACCCCACTTTCTCCCTGCAGTGAAGCTGGCTGGAAAGGCGTGGTCGGGGAGGTGCCGAGCCCGGCACAGGTGCAGGTGGCCCTGACGGAGCGCGACCTGTATATGTGAGTCAGCATAGGGAGGGGGAGGCTGGGTCCCCCAGGAGGCCCTGACTCAGGTGGGGCGCCCCTGGAGACACAGCGGGGAGGCCTGCTGCTGCTGGTCAGCTCCTGTCCTTCTGCCTCAGCTACGCGGGCCACGGGGCTGGCGCCCGCTTCCTGGATGGGCAGGCTGTGCTGCGGCTGAGCTGCCGGGCAGTCGCCCTGCTCTTCGGCTGCAGCAGTGCCGCCCTGGCTGTGCATGGAAACCTGGAGGGGGCTGGCATCGTGCTCAAGTATATCATGGCAGGCTGGTGAGTCTCCGGGTCAAGGCCCATCCCAAGTTCCCCAGGTTTCCTCCCCCAGCCAAAACCCCGAAAGCGTCCCTCCTTTGCGCCCCACTTCCGCCGGCCACAGTTCCCACATGTGCCTTGGCCTTCCCCTCCCTAACCTGGAGCTCCGGGCCCTGGGGCTGCCTCGGGGCAGTCTCCACTCTCCCTCCACCGCTGCCCGCTGGCCACCACCACCAATTGTGCTTGCCCCGAGGTCTGCCATAGAACTCTTATTTTGTATTCCTTTTCTCGTCCCAGCCCCCTGTTTCTGGGTAACCTCTGGGATGTGACCGACCGTGACATTGACCGCTACACAGAGGCTCTGCTGCAGGGCTGGCTTGGTGCCGGCCCAGGGGCCCCCCTTCTCCACTATGTCAGCCAGGCCCGGCAGGCTCCCCGACTCAAGTATCTCATTGGGGCTGCACCTGTAGCCTATGGCTTGCCTGTCTGCTTGCGGTGACCCCTGGGAATTGTCCTAGCACCAACAGAAGTCATCTGACTGTTCTACCTCCAAATGTTATTTAACCCTTACGATAAATACTTTAATGATCTTCCTCAGTGTTTTATACGAAATATTTCCTTTTGATTTGATCTTAATATAATAAAGACTTATCATCTGAACCTGTTTTGTGTAGTTCATCTGGGAACATTTGAAGACAAGATTATTGCTCCCCTCCCACCCTGTGTAACCATCTAAGCAGGTAGAACAACTTGCAGCTGTTGAAGCCTGAGAACCCTTGGAAAGAAGGGCGAACCAAGGTGAGCTGAGCCCGGCTGGGCCTGTGAGGAGCTGAAGATTAGGGCGCCCGTGCTCCAGTGGGACAGAGGCTCCACACTGAGCATGTCCGGGTCTGGTACCGTCTGGTCCTGCCCGAGTGCCCGCAGGTATCCTGGGAGTGACACCTAGCAGCAGAGCGACAGCTGCCCCGCCCCGGTCCTTAGTGGGCAGCAAAGGCCGTTCTCTCCCCACACTCGCGGCTTCACTCAGCACCTGGCGTTTTGGCAGCCGATGCGGTGGGTCCTGCTGTTCCCGCAGGTCTTGTTGGGGGGGGGGGGATTATAACAATGCACAACTATATACCAGAGACACTTTAGGGGGGTGGAGTGGGGTGTGGGATCAAAAATGGGGCGGGGGGAGTGTACGGGACTATGGCGGTGGCACACGGGTGATTTGGTGATGGGAAGCCCACAGGGATTACCACTGAGATGGAAAAAGGCCAAAATGATGTAAATATAAACTATTATAATAATAAAAAACCTGTACTGGTCAGTGAAGCTTGCTGGGTGCACAACAGGTCCTCCTGACTGTCCACCTCAGATTCCTGCCGCCTCTGCCCAAAGCGGCGCTCTCGGGGGTGCAATGAACACCCGACGCTTTACAATGCTGTGGCGACGGCCTGACTACCTTAATGCGTTTGAGGTCCTGAGGCAGAGTCTGTGTGCTGCAGCTTTACTACTCTGGGCTTCCGAGGTTTTGCGAAAAGCAAGCGCCCAGCCCTTCGCGAGGTCACCGCCAGTCCAGTAGCTCGGCCCCTCCTTCGCCGCAGGGAGCCGAGGATCATAGAGATGTCTGGCGCAGCGAGCCGCCTGGCGCAGCCATAGAGATGCGCAGCGGGTGGCTAGAGCGCCATTTCCGGTCCGCAAGTCCTTCCCAACATGGCGCAGTCAGTTAACATCACCGAGCTCAATCTGCCGCAGCTAGAAATGCTCAAGAACCAGCTGGACCAGGTGGGGACGCGCCCCAGAGCTTCCTTTTCTCGCTCACAGCTCCACATCTCGTGCCCGCCGGCCCTCGCTCGCCCTCCACTCCCCCGGCCTGGGAGACCTGCCTTTCCCGGCGGAACACTTCACCCGGGGCCCGCCCCTTCGGTGGTGCTGCCCAGAGTCCTCCGCCCCCACCCCCTGCCCCGGCCCGGTGTTGACCCGATTTCCGTCCCCGTAGGAAGTGGAGTTCTTATCCACGTCCATTGCCCAGCTCAAGGTGGTCCAGACCAAGTATGTGGAAGCCAAGGACTGTCTGAACGTGCTGAACAAGAGCAACGAGGGTAGGGTAGTCGCGCGAGGCCATGGGGGGATGTGGCCGTCCGGCGTCTCTCGTCCTGTCTCTTAACCCAGTTTTCCTTACGTGAGGGGACTAGACTGTCCGTTACATACTGTATGCCGCTGCGTGAGCCCTTTGCATGTTGCCCACCTAGAATTGGAAAGTACAGGACGTGCCCCGCTTGCTCCTTTGCATCCTGCCCGGGCTCTGTGCCTGGCTGGAACTCCCTCATTATTTGCCAAGTACTTGCTAGGTGCTTTCAGTGAATTCTCATCAATCCTAATAACTCCCTTTAACGTCCTATTTCGGAGCTGCCAGCTTCCTCCAGATGTTTGTCTTCATTGCTTCCACAGGGAAAGAACTACTCGTCCCACTGACAAGTTCCGTATCCTTGCCACAGGAACTGCCTTCTTCCTTACCCTCTCCCTCCCAAGAACAAAGAGGGGCCAAGAGTAGTTTTGATAACCCCATCGTGCCCCTCCCAGAAGAATCTTAACATACACACTTCTGTCTTAATCTGCAGCCAACCTCCAGCTAATCTTATGAGTATCAGGGAGTACCTAGAACGGAGGCATGCTCGTTTTCCTGGCTATGTGAGGATATTGATCTAATATGGAGATACAATTAGTGGTTTACACTACTGTTAATTACAGCCGGGGGTGGCTCCATTAGTCCTCAGCTTTAGTTTAATTGTAGCACTTTCCCCTGAACGTTGCTACGGAGGAAACACGGAGTGTCTACCTACTGAGTGTTTTACTGAATGAGCCCGTTTTGACAGTAGGGTGACTATATAATCCGGGAACTGACGTGCTAAAAGAGCACAGGAGTGGCGGTGCAGTGGGGTTAAATTATGGGTATTCAGTTCACCAGGAATTAGCCATTCATGCTTGAGAGTGTTGAGGGAAAGTAAGATTTACTCCGATTTTTTACATGTACTACTCAGCGGCGGTAGGAACGTACCTTTGTATCCAACCTTTCTAGAGAGGGCTAGTGGGGGGAGCTAAAAGAACTGCTTGGAAGGTGGCAGGTGGGATCAGGGCAAGAGTGTGTGAACATAGTTCACTTTCCCATAAGGAACCAGCTTCGCGCTCTCTCCACCTTTGGCGTTTCCAGGTATAGTTTTCCAGTCTCCAGAGTACTCAGGCCCTGTTTCTTTTTAGAAAAGGAATGCCCTGGGGTGGCGAGCAGGCTGGCCACTGGAGTCCTGGCTCACGCTGGGCTAGTTTTCCCTTAATCCTTGCTTCTCAGATGTATGTTCCTGGGAAGCTACATGATGTGGAACATGTGCTCATCGATGTGGGCACTGGCTACTATGTAGAGAAGGTGAGTGGGGAGCACTAGGCTGCCTCCCAGAGCAGGGAGGGAGATGCAGGGGAGATCTGCAGTACCATATGGGGCTCCTCTAAGCCCTCCCTTCACCTCTGGCCTTGCAGACAGCTGAGGATGCCAAAGAGTTCTTCAAGAGGAAGATAGACTTCCTCACCAAGCAAATGGAGAAAATCCAGCCAGCTTTACAGGAGAAGCATGCCATGAAGCAAGGTAAGCTCAGCTTGAGGCATCTCCTGAACCTTTCTACCTCTGGTAAAGAAGATGGATTGCAGAGTGAACCGTAGCAGTCACCCCTAGTGGGATTAAAATTCCTCTCCTTCCCTTCTAACTCGGTGCAAGTCAGTTGCTGCTTTTAATGAAACGCCATGAAGCCGCTTACATAAGTTCAACAATGGTTATTTATTGTGCTAATCGAGTGGCCAGGTTCAGTTTTTATCTTCACTGGAGCTAGAGTCCCATCGATGACCCCGATCACACCAGGAGAGGCCGTGTGCCCTCCTGTTAAAACTGTATTTCTCTTCGGTTCTGACATACACTTCTCTGGACAGTGCAGTATGTACCCATTTGGGTTGGGGGCTTGAGGAATGTAGAAGAAATGTCTCTTGTGGAGCTTCCATGTAGTGGGGACCTGATGGGGAGAGAATACATGTAAATGAGCACCTAGAAAAGAAGTAACAGCCCTGAGTACTAGCAGCTGCCACTGTGGCTGCACCTGGGTCACCCGGTGCTTTCTAGACAGCCTGGGCCACACAGCTATCAGCCAGGAGGGATAAACTCTGGTGCTGGGTTAAAAAGGCTCCAGCTGATTCTGTTCTTTATTCAGGCTTGCGAGCCACTGCCTTGAAGGCAAGAGTCTCTCCACATTATAATTTTATTTGACTCATTTACGACCATGTTCGTTTTTATATGCTGTTGTCATGTGTTTTTGTCCCTCTCAGTAGATCCCTGTATTAAAAGTTTAACAGGCTAGTTGCTCATCCACCCTGCCTCTCTTGCTTAACTCTTTCTCCTCCCTTGTCCTGACCAGGACCTCACTTTTATCCCCACAGCTGTCATGGAGATGATGAGCCAGAAGATTCAGCAGCTCACAGCCTTGGGGGCCAACCAAGCCACCGCCAAGGCCTGAGGGCTTGCAGAAGGCCTGGGACTCTGGGTGTGGATGCGATGGTGCTTGTTCCGTGCTAATAAACGTGGCCGCCGGGCAGAGCGTGTCTTTGCGTGCGTTGCGCAGGGGACTCTGGAGAGCGGGCTGGGGACGGGGCAGGTCGGGAGGGCTTGCGGCTGCCGGGAACCTGGACTCGGGCGATCGCCCAGGCGCCGGCTAAGAAGCGCTC